CCGGTCTCATGTTCAAAATAGTTATATCTTGACTGATTAAAAATGTCAGTGAATGAGCTTTAGTTTTACTCCACTTTAAGCTATATTCCAGCAATATCACAACACCAGAAATAGGCCATACTATTGTACTCATATAGGGAAGCGAACCCGGGTCTTCGGCGTGACGAGCGAACGTTGTATCCACTAACCTACCCCATGGCTCCAGAGTAAAAAAAACATCCATCAAATAATTCAACTCTATGGGAAAGAACATGCTGATTTATAAAAAACACACCTTTGTTTGTTTTGTACTAAACAATTGGCACACGAATAATAGTATCAAGCGACCTGTGTCCTGTTTAAGTTAATGGATAGGATTATGGTGACGGATGAAGATGTCCATTCATTCCCCGCTGCATACATCCATGTGCTTCAGCAGCACCTCCGTCAGAAGAAGCATAAATCTGTTGTGTCAGGTCACGCCACTATCTGTGGGGCCATGGTGCTGGAACCAATAAAACACCGGTGCTACAGTCTCGCCGAGATAGCATGTGCACCGTATTGGGCCTATTTCACAACATGTGAGATATGTTTGTTTGCTTCTAGAAGAACGCAACCCTTCTACTACCCTGTAAAAGTCAAGCATGTGTTTCATTAGCCAGGAGTAATGTCTCTCTTGGTCACGTGACCAGTGGGTACAGACAAGGGTGTTTTTGAGGATGACAAAAGATACAGGGCTGGTTTTCTTACGCAATTTGAGGTTTTCTAAAGCTACATTGCCTATGTACCCTGTATCACTAACTATCATCCCGCTTTCCCTGTCCCCTCGCCCTCTCTATTACTTTCATCTAGCCTTCTTTTCCTGCACTGTAAAAAGATACTCAACGTAACCGAAGGTTAAGCGTAAAGACGACTCTCTCTCTCTCTCAGAATTTAACTCCACGCTTCTTGAATCCTCAAGTTTCAGCTCTCTCTCTCCTCTCTCTCAGAATTTAACTCCATGCTTCTTGAATCCTCAAGTTTCAGCTCACTCTCTCTCTCTCTTTCTCTCTCTCTCAGAATTTAACTCCATGCTTCTTGAATCTCTCTCTCTCTCTCTCTCTCTTTCTCTCTCTCTCTCTGTGGCGTCATGATGCATATGTCCCCATCACAAAGAGATGTAAGTTCCTTCATATAGGTCACACGTTTAATCCGTCTCCTGTTACACGGAATAGCTGCGTGGTTCTGATCATGTTTAATCACACCAGATAAGAATGACGCGTGTGTGTGAAGTGTGCGGTTTTCATTACACACCGCCTCAGAGAGAGATATACGCTAGTCTTGTATATCTGTCGCTAATATGTAGAAGTCCATTTAGCCATGTGAGTCCCTATGTTAAAATGCCCGTTGTCATGTTAACAAGCGAGTTCCTATGTTAATATGCCAGTTACCATGTTAACAAGCGAGTTCCTATGTTAATATGCCAGTTACCATGTTAACAAGCGAGTTCCTATGTTAATATGCCAGTTACCATGTTAACAAGCGAGATCCTGAAAGAAATCTAACAAGTTAACAAGCAGAGTGTTAAAAATGCCCGTTGCCATGTTAACAAGCGAGACCCTAAGTTAATATGCCAGTTACTATGTTAACAAGCGAGTTCCTATGTTAAAATGCCAGTTACTATGTTAACAAGCGAGTTCCTATGTTAAAATGCCAGTTACCATGTTAACAAGCGAGATCCTGAAAGAAATCTAACAAGTTAACAAGCAGAGGCATGGTAGCATGCTGCAATCCCCATGTTAGCTTACGAATATGTATCACACGTGTTCAGTGCAGGTAAAGAAATGCGCAAAGGCCTCCACACCGAACGATGTTTTCTAATAAAGGACTGACTCGAAGGTAGAGATCGAGAAAAAACAACTGTGCGCGGGGAAACAGAAGAGAATGTGTAGAATTATAGATATTAGGAGGATGAGACGACACAGAAAAGAAGGAAAACAAAAGTTAATATAAATCACTCAAATCAAGATAAAGACAGGGTAGAAGGAAATAAGTTAGGTAGGGGAGAATAAAAACAGTATAAGCCATGGTTATATAGCCATAATATAAACTTGAGAAGATCATAAGACTTCGATGAAGGCTTGCATCTCTGAAATCAAACAGATTCGTTTTAACTTTTACAAAAATTGTAAAAATACAAGTATAATTTTGTTTATATTTTCGCTTGTCTTTAACTATATCAAATACACTCCCGTTACATTAAATCACCCACTGACCTCTTTATTCCGTCAGTTACATGATAACGCCGACCTTTTTGGCAAGAATTTCCATATCAAATCAAATTCACTGTAATCACTGTTGAAGCATGGTCTTGTCTGAACCCAAAGTCTGATTTTATTAACCCATCCAGCTACAAAGCAACCTAGTGATGAAATGTGGGTATGCAGTCAATGAATGCATGTCTTTTCAATGTCTTAAACCCTTTCATGGTGCCTAATGCATATAAAAGCTATCCTTAGACCGCCATCACTCACACACATTCTGTATAATGGAAGGTTACGAAATCAAACAAATTCGGACCAGACAATGAAATATTGCCTATGAATATTCCAAATGGAGATTTCAGTGATTATTTTTATGAATTAGTTCAATTTGTCAGTGTTAGGCGCGCGTAAGCGTGGCTTATGACTTGGGAATGAAGTTTTCAGGAGTGAGGTCGCAAAAAGCCACGTTTTTATTCATGGCGCAATAACAAGTAATCAGCGGAGTAATCCGGTCTTTAAACCTGCGATTACTCCGCCGCAGCTCGCACATGGACACAACGGATCCGCATTCCCCCACAGTTCTTTGAAGTTGTTTGATGACAAAACACTCTCCTTAATATTGATGAATTTCTTCTCCTAATCAATAGAAAGGAACACAATATTTACAAGTGGTTTCTGTTGGGAGATAGCTGCTTGTGTTGCCGGTCATTGCATCTCCAGCTGATAATGAAACTCGCCGAGCTGGGAGTTTGTGTAACGTATGTACCCATATGAGACCGTTGGTTTCTATTGAAACGTTTATACAAACATCCAGTTGATCAAACGTGGCTGGGAATGTCTTCGATTCGGTAAACAACCCGATTCAAGTTTTCAACCAATGCGTGTACCGCTGCAGTGGTCACTGTAAATATTATCCAGACGAAATGACCACATATCTCGTGCTTGGCTATTGAACGTCTATTAAACACACGGCTTAAGTTATTCTATCTTTACGATGTCCAATTTTGAGGCGATATTAGCACCAACTCGATTTTGTTTAAACAAACTCAGCTTTCATTTGGCTAACATTGTCAAATTTATTACCGATTTGTTGGTGTAAGATTCGTCGGTGTGTATGAAAACTTGCACCGGGTCGTGAAACGAGATTCGGAATGGGTGTTGGAGGGTTAGGATGCATGATAAAGAGATCATAACGTACCATGAAAAACACATAAAGACGGAGTAACGATACAGTCGGCCCGAGCGAGACTCAGCGTATTTATGACAACATAAACTCACGAAACGCGTGGCAGAGGCAATGTAACCGCGTAATGTTTTATTGACTAACTGCTTTGTGAGTCCCGTTAGTTAATACATTTACACTCCTCTATCGCTGGAAATCACGCGGCGCGATTGTATCAAGACTCTGAATGATTTCGCATATGTAGTGCCTGTAGTAGCTTTATCATTATCAAATGACGGTGAATGTTTATGCGCGACGAAAGCCCAAAGCATGACGGAGCGAGCTCTCGTGTGACCCATGGCTCATAAACTACGGCTCACAAGCTAGGCTCGACTCGTACGGTGTTAAAGGGCTGCTTGAGTGTTAATGCGATGATCTGAATAGGGGATCTCAATGCTAATTGGAGGGGAGGATCGGCCCGCAGTATCTGCCACCATCTCTCATTGGCCATTTTGATTATCAAATATTGTTTTGACCTGGATTTGAATTGTATCAGTTATTATTAAACGCTGTGATGGATTGCAAAATGTTATAGATTACCATGGAAGTAACTTTTGCTTTAAAATATAAATACTTTATGCGGACGAGAAACACAAATTGAAAACGATTTTGTTTTCAAATCATTTATCATATTCAGAATTATTTGAAGCGTTAGGTTTTTATGTATATGTCTGGGTTGTTGTGGGTTGTGAGATATGTTTATCAATAATAGCTAGATAGACATTTATATAACATGTAGGTCGCTAAGTAACAAAGGCGCTCTCAGGCCCCATTGACTTCTATAAAACGTCACATTCGGAGGTAACATCTTCGGCAGAGTTTCAGGATGTAATAAAACCATATGTTCAGCTTAACGACTTTTTAGGATAATCTTACTTTTCGGAAGAAATACTTAATATAGCGTTGTTAAACTCGGACAAAAGTCAGTTGCGGATGTGTAATGCCCGAGCATTGTGATAAAGTTTGATATTTTAACGAAATGGTCTGATGTTAAAAAAACGTGTCAATGGTGATCTTGAATGATTTGTTTAACCAGATTTACGAAACTAAGAGAATAAAATAGGCGACATTACGGTCTAAATGACAAAAATTCATTCAAATTTGTACTAAATTTAATGCAAGCATAATTGATGGTAACAAGGTACTGCGATCTTTAACACTGGTTCTGACTTCCGGTTTCACTTGCATGACCATGCCAGGGTCAAAGGTCCTAATTTCCAACCTCTCGAAGGTCATTAATCTTAATTTATTTTCAATCCCCAATACATCATTATTATCTGATCGAATATCATATCATAATATTTGAGCCAGACAAATTGACAGATGTGTTAAAAAATCACGAAGAACGTCTTTTTATCGGTGTAGTTTCAATCACCAGACTCACTGAAGTTGTCTGTGGAGCGGATTTCGGAAGAATCTCATTCCAGAAAGTATCAAGTCCGGTTTTGGCGTTGCGCATCAATGAAACGTAGAATTTTCTTGTCTGACATATTTTCTTCTCAAAATGACGATAAATGATTATTGTGTCAGTGAACAAAAATATTAGCTTCCCTCACGTGGTAGTGTTTTCTCCGTGGACGTCATTTGTTAGTAACCAAATCTCGGTGATGGTACGACAGGCCGGAAATCTAACCCGGGTTGGGGTAAAGGTTGGACTCGGTTCTTACAAAAGCGGACTTTGAGCAGCTGAAATCGGTCTTAGAGTTCAAACCGATGACAGCAGTAGAGTGACTGTGTCATCCACAGAGTGGCCGGGCACAATGCAAGGCTGTAGGCTCTCGGAGGTGATAGGCGTTTCACAGTATTCTCGCATAGTCTCAGTTTACACGTGTGTTTTGTCTTCCTTCCCTTTAAGTCGATTAGAATAACACTCTGGGTTTCACCGGAATTTGTTAGGTTTTGTTCTCGAACAATTGAGATGGGAATATTTGACGAATTAGTAAGTTATAGCTAGCAGTGATAAAGGAGGAAGCCGAATTATCGGTTCTAAAATCTTATCTGTTAGTTATCTAACTCTACTGACTTACTCCTACCTAGGGCGTAATGCTGCACATCTGATCTCAGGTCCGGTATAATCTTACATAATACTGATGAGAAAACCCTAATGTACTTTACCTTGAACATTTCATCTCTGAATCAGAAGTCATTTACTACCTGGAGAGAGCCAGGCTTCTTGGGACTATCTGTGAGTAGTGACCTCTAACAGGTGTGTGTAGTGTATTGATCTATATTAGGACATCATCAATATAATATTAACACGAATGTTTCATAAGACGCTCATAAGCAAATTCCAATTGAATGATATTAATGATGGCAATACAAAGTATTATAATTGGAACATGTATCTAACATCGCTTAAGGGTCTATTGGCCCTAAGTTTTGTCAGTGGCCCATTACATGAGCTTAGAAGTAGATCAATACGACACGTTAATTTTATTATATTCTCATTTTGGGCCGTTTTCTGTCATCATCGTCGTCGTCGTCATCATCAACAACAACAACAATATTATTATTATCATTTATAACTGTATGCCTAGTTCATTCTGTTTTAGTCCTTCAAGTTGATAATACCGTTCATGCTTTCTCTTTCTCGACGTCCTATAGCTCAGTGTTTTAAAACAAACATCCAAACTATTTCTCTTCATGACATACGTGGGGCAATGGTTAAAGCGTCGGCTAGTCACGATGACGACCCGGGTTCGAATCCCCACATGGGCACAATGTGTGAAGCCAATTTATGGTGTCCCCTGCCGTGATATTGCTGGAATATTGCTAAAAGCGGCGTAAAACCCAACTCACTCACTCACTCATGACATACGTCATTTTCTTTCAAAGGACCATATCATCCAGTCTCTTGCGATACCATTAGCTGCGTGGAACCAGGCAATCCTCTCTCATTACGAAACCGACAATAGCATTCTCTATTCCAGAAACCATTCATACCTTTCTCTATACGAAACCACGTAAGCATTTATCTTCATTAAACAATTCAACCCTTTTCACCCACACAATGATACATGCCATATATGAATGTTTGTCCGACGTGATGAGATACCAATGTAAGTATAATACAAAAATATGAGTATTTTCATAAGACTGACTGACTGGCTGAGTTTAGTTTTACGCCGCTTTTAGCAATATTCCAGCAATATCACGGCGGGGGACACCAGAAATGGGCTTAACACATTGTACCCATGTGGGGAATCGAACCCGGGTCTTCGGCGTGACGAGCCAACGCTTTAACCATTGGCTACCCCACCGCCCCATTTTCATAAGAACACTGAAGGTATGTTTGGTCAGAGCCCAGAAATGGTCTCAGGTTTGTCATTCCTAATTCACGATAATTTTAGGATTAATAAGATTAGTTTTTTAGTTGTGAATTTCTTTCAGAAGGAAACGCAGTCATTTTAATCGTGTGTACAGGAATGTTAGTCCTTGGGTGCAACATACATTAGAGGGATTTTTCAGGTGTAACGAATCCTCGTGTACACTGGCTCCCATCTATCTGGAGTGGAATCTCGCATTCCCACGCTCTCTCACGTTTGCGTGGCCATTTAATTTATCGAGGTGGCTGTCGGCCGTGTTCATGTTGTTTTGCCAGGGATTAAAACATTTCAAGCAAAAAGTATACATTGTTGTCTAAAGCCTAATCAATTACGACATGCAGGTGAATTACGGCGACAACAGTAGCTTCTCCTTCTCCATCACACGGGAAGGTCATCTGATGTTGGAGTGCCGATGATAGTACGCTATCACTCCACAGTAACTAATGCCTATAGTATGATGGTACACATCACTCCATGTAGTAGCTTATGCCTATAGTACGCTTGTTAACAAGGTGCTCAACCTGCCACTACGATATTTTTCACTGTCTTCTCGCTATATCTATGTTCATTCTTTAGACAACAGGTCTAGCGAGAGCGTAATTACTGACCATTTGCCTACCAGTCTGTCTGCGCATGACAGGAAGGTATGATGGGCATGGCACCTTGACATGATCTATGTGAAGGGCGTAAGTGATAATATCTTTACAAACGTTGTTCAACCCAAGACAATCAGCATTAAAGGAACATTCCATATGGTAAATACTGGTGGCTTGTAGATAGATGTTACTCAGTTCGACATATGAAGAGACCGTCATTCACGTTCAGGGTACGGTGGGGTAGCCGAGTGGTTATTCACTCACTACCTCATTTATGTTCGGCTTCCCATAGCTGGTGATTAAATAACACGTAATACATGTTTCTTTTGTCCCATTGGGCGTAATTTCGTTTGTATGGTTAAATATGATACCGATACCCAAATTTCAAACTACCTAAATCTAAATCCAAACCTCCAAACGTCACGCTCAACCCCAAACCACAACCCCCCCACACACCCACCCCACACCCCTCAACACCCACACACACACACACACACACACACACACACACACACACACAACCACACACAACCACAACCACACACAACCACCCAAATACCATGGGAACCCCCACACACTCACCCAACCACCACAATACGATGGGAGCCAAATGAAACTTTTATGGACAGAAATATAACAGACTATTTTCGTTTTCGCGCTTGTGTCAGTTTTAAAGTTACCGTAACTGCTTGTAGAATTTCAGGATTTCGATACCGTTTTTAAACCATCATCACAATAAATCCTCGTCCAAAAGCTGTTAGTTTATTGGACATGTCAATTTTCTTAATAACCAGAAACCGGCGACAGTGAGAAATCCTTCGCCCAGTAAAGAAGCCGATGTAGAATAATCGGCATGAAATGGGATGTTATTCGTTCCACGAACACTTCACAGACAAACGAAACAATGCAATAAGAACCGTTAATGCTCAAATAACACCAGTTGTCACTACTCTAAATCTGTAAGCCTTGTAAGCCGCTGTTTACACTCTTGAAGATGTAAAAATACATATTATTTTTTGCTTTAATAATGTTGTATCACTAATCGCTCCGAGGTGCGTTCGTGCTACAAACAAAGATATCTGGAAGAGCCGGACGACGAATACACTTGGGGCTTGTAATCCGGGCACTGGTCCATGTAACAGAAACTCGGATCGTCGGCACCGGACCGAGTAGGGAGGTCGTGCCATATGTCGTTCGCAGCACCGTCCCCGGCGCTTGTTTGTTCTGTGTTTGGAATCTCTCCACGCGGATGGAGGAGCAGGGTTGATATTTTATAATCGGATGATAGATCAAACGAACACTGAAATCCGTTTCATGTTTGGCTATTTCTAGCCACAGTCTTCCAAAAGCAAAATGGCCGCTCTTGACGTCTGTTCGCCCCAAAGATCACGTCGTATCTCGGACATCGCGGATCTCTCGCGGGACCAGGACGTGTGAAAGACGCATTACATTTTATTCAGACAGATTGGTTGTTTTTGAGCAGCGACGTGATTGTTTGAGCGAAAACACAGGCAGTGGGTAAGGCATGTACAACGTCCACTGGAACGATCGAATTGTCCTGTATATATGGACTGTTGATATAGATATTTTACATATGTGTACGTATTGAATATTTCCACAATGGGAATATACAGACTGCACATCTAAGAAACGGGTAGAATGCTATAAGCTTTCATTGATTTGTGTTTGTGTATATGTTCACTTCCGGTGGCCGGGGTAGCCTAGTGGTTAAAGCGTTCGCTCGTCACGCCGAAGGCACGGGTTCGATTCCCCACGTGGGTACAGTGTGTGAAACCCATTTCTGGTGTCCCCCGCCGTGATATTACGGGAATATTGCTAAAGGCGGCGTAAAACCCAACTCACTCACTCACTATATTCTTTTCCTCATTTGGACCCGAATGAGAGTCAGTTTCACGAAACGTTTTCAAAATAACGTGATGTGAATGCAGACGTTATGTTAAACAAAAGCAACGCGAAAATAGAGAAAGAATATACATATATTTGTGTGAGTATGTTTGTGATTTATCACAGCTGCAACTGGACAATCTGCGTGTCAGAGACTCAGAGTAATTCTCAAATAATACCAATGAAATGCAAACTACCATCAACGTGAGTTTGTCAGCCATGTTTACCACGGCCATCAGGGCCGATTCTTCACGACTTTCAGTAACCGCATAACATTCTTGCCCTCCTATGATCATACCACACATTCTGGGACCGTTCAGACATGCTGGAAGCATCATAAATGACAGAAATAAAGAAATGAAAGCGGAACCTTCCCGGCTAACCATGTTGTTTGCAGTTGGAGTGAGTGAATGAGTTAATATTTATCGTCACATCGACAATATTTCAGCCATATTGTGACGAGAACATTGTATAATTTTATGTTTACAGTTGGACACAAAGCATGAACGTATGTGATACAGTAACGTTGTCCCCACTTTATCCCACCCCCCTTATTTCACCTTCACTCACCACCCTTCCACCCACCCCTCTCAACCTCACCACTACCCATCCACCGCCCTCTCAACCCACCACCTCCTTCCTCACCACTTCCCATCATCCACCGCCCTCTCGGCCTCACCACTACTCCATCCACCGCCCTCTCGACATCACTCACCACTACCCATCCACGCCCTCTCTCGACATCACCACTACCCATCCACCGCCCTCTCAACCTCACCACTACCCATCCACCGCCCTCTCTCAACCTCACCCACCACTACCCATCCACCGCCCTCTCAACCTCACCACTACCCATCCACCGCCCTCTCTACCTCACCACTACCCATCCACCGCCCTCTCGACCTCACCACTACCCATCCACCGCCCTCTCGACATCACCACTACCCATCCACCGCCCTCCGACATCACCACTGCCATCCACCGCCCTCTCGACCTCACCACTACCCGTCCACCGCCCCTCGACCTCACCACTACCCATCCACCGCCCTCTCGACCTCACCACTACCCATCCACCGCCCTCTCAACCTCACCACTACCCATCCACCGCCCTCTCGACCTCACCACTACCCATCTATCGCCCTCTCGACCTCACCACTACCCATCCACCGCCCTCTCAACCTCACCACTACCCACCCACCGCCTCTCTCAACCTCACCACTACCCATCCACCGCCCTCTCAACCTCACCACTACCCATCCACCGCCCTCTCGACATCACCACTACCCATCCACCGCCCTCTCGACCTCACCACTACCCATCCATCGCCCTCTCGACCTCACCACTACCCATCTATCGCCCTCTCAACCTCACCACTACCCATCCACCGCCCTCTCGACCTCACCACTACCCACCCACCGCTCTCTCAACCTCACCACTACCTATCCACCGCCCTCTCGACCTCACCACTACCCATTCACCGCCCTCTCGACATCACCACTACCCATCCACCGCCCTCTCGACCTCACCACTACCCATCCATCGCCCTCTCGACCTCACCACTACCCATCCACAGCCCTCTCAACCTCACCACTACCCATCCACCGCCCTCTCAACCTCACCACTACCCATCCACCGCCCTCTCGACCTCACCACTACCCATCCATCGCCCTCTCGACCTCACCACTACCCATCCACCGCCCTCTCAACCTCATCCATCAGCTATCCACTCACTCCCTCTCAACCTCACCACTACCCATCCAGCCACTCTCAACTTGACCAATCCACCCCCACCCCCACTCAACCTCATCCACCATCCCTCCACCCACCCCCCTCTCAACTTCACCACCCTCCACCCACCCCTCTCAAGTTCACCACCACCCACCTTCCGCCCTGTTTCGGGGCGCACCAGACGGATCCTTACAGCATTTGCACCAGGTGGGAAGATGTTTTGGATTAGCAGTCAATGTGAGTGAACGTGTTTTGTTACGGTGTTTTTAGACGGTCCCAGTTTGTGCCGGCATGTGTGTCTCCTGGTGGGGTCCCGTCACTACAGTGATAGGCTTGTAGAGTTTCCCCCTCCCTACAGAACAAGACACGAGGGAAGCCCGAAGAATTCCCCGACGGAGTAGCTTCATCACTACACACTTGTACCCATCAGCTATGATGAAAGACGTCCAAACATGCCTATCGCTTCGTTTACACCGTTCTTTATAATAGACCAGCTTGCAACAACACCAGGGAAACCGTAGTACAATGTATGGGCTTGTAAACAAGAGGGGTCGACCATCACTCAACACTGGTTGGTCTGCTTTGTGTTCACTTGTAAACTGAGGAGGTGGGGCAGAACGCGTGAAGGCGTGGGGGATGGGTTCATAGTGTGTGCTGGGACACGGTTTATTTGTGGTGGTACAAGGTTTATATATGTGTATCAGGTTTATATGTGGTGGGACAAGGTTAATATATGTGTACAAGGTTTTTATTTGGTGGTACAAGGTTTATAGTGTGGTGGGACACGATTTATATTTGGTGATACAACGTTTATAGTGTGGTGGGACACGAATACAGTGTGGTGAGACACAGGTTAAGGTGTGGTGGGACATGGTTTATAGTGTGGTGGGACACTGTTAGTTTGTGGTGGGACACGGTTCGTTGTGTATGATGCTACATTGTTTATAGTGTGGTGGGACAAAAGCTGTAAAACTACAAAGCATACAACCAAACACATGTTTTATCAGGTGTTAAAACTATTAACACCTGATAAAACATGTGTTTGGTTGTATGTGTATGGGATGTTAGTTTGTAAGGGAATTGTCTTTACCGTACCTTTAGAAAATATAAATGTCTGCTTATCAATAAAAGTTTAAAAGGTTAAGATATCAAAACAGGTTAAGATTTGACCATGGGCGGATTTCGTAAACTGAATGCTTTTTAATATTAAAAGGACATTAATTGAAAAACAACAGACCATCCGGCGTTTTGAAAGGTCAGGCTTTGAAATGACAGCCGTTGAATGGTTCCTTTGTTTAATCACCCAGAAAATTGTTCCAAGTGAAACATCATTACTCGGTTTTCCCACAAATTGTTTGCCGAATTTTAACCGGCATTGTGGTAAGCGTAAAACAACATGGGCATCGCATCGGTCAGTCAAGCGTCCGGCAAGTTAAATCCGTTCACATGCCCTTTTGTCACACTCGGACAGTCCACTCCACACCTGGCAAAACAAAACAAGTCGGACATTCGGACAAACCTAAATGAGAGCAAACTGAGGTATTCTGGTCGGAGCTAACCAGAGGGTCACACTTTAACGCGTGGTGTTTACTTTTGGGCGCGGATGTATTTATCGTGTGCAGGTTGTGATCCGCCCTCCCCACCATTGATGCAGTGAATACAGATGAACCGGAGAAGGCGTGGTGATACTCAACTTCACCACCCCTCCACCCACCCCTCTCAAGTTCACCACCACCCACCTTCCGCCCTGTTTCGGGGGCGCACCAGACGGATCCTTACAGCATTTGCACCAGGTGGGAAGATGTTTTGGATTAGCAGTCAATGTGAGTGAACGTGTTTTGTTACGGTGTTTTTAGACGGTCCCAGTTTGTGCCGGCATGTGTGTCTCCTGGTGGGGTCCCGTCATCACTACAGTGATAGGCTTGTAGAGTTTCCCCTCCCTACAGAACAAGACACGAGGGAAGCCCGAAGAATTCCCCGACGGAGTAGCTTCATCACTACACACTTGTACCCATCAGCTATGATGAAAGACGTCCAAACATGCCTATCGCTTCGTTTACACCGTTCTTTATAATAGACCAGCTTGCAACAACACCAGGGGAAACCGTAGTACAATGTATGGGCTTGTAAACAAGAGGGGTCGACCATCACTCAACACTGGTTGGTCTGCTTTGTGTTCACTTGTAAACTGAGGAGGTGGGGCAGAACGCGTGAAGGCGTGGGGATGGGTTCATAGTGTGTGCTGGGACACGGTTTATTTGTGGTGGTACAAGGTTTATATATGTGTATCAGGTTTATATGTGGTGGGACAAGGTTAATATATGTGTACAAGGTTTTTATTTGGTGGTACAAGGTTTATAGTGTGGTGGGACACGATTTATATTTGGTGATACAACGTTTATAGTGTGGTGGGACACGAATACAGTGTGGTGAGACACAGGTTAAGGTGTGGTGGGACATGGTTTATAGTGTGGTGGGACACTGTTAGTTTGTGGTGGGACACGGTTCGTTGTGTATGATGCTACATTGTTTATAGTGTGGTGGGACAAAAAGCTGTAAAACTACAAAGCATACAACCAAACACATGTTTTATCAGGTGTTAAAAACTATAAACACCTGATAAAACATGTGTTTGGTTGTATGTGTATGGGATGTTAGTTTGTAAGGGAATTGTCTTTACCGTACCTTTAGAAAATATAAATGTCTGCTTATCAATAAAAGTTGAAAAGGTTAAGATATCAAAACAGGTTAAGATTTGACCATGGGCGGATTTCGTAAACTGAATGCTTTTTAATATTAAAAGGACATTAATTGAAAAACAACAGACCATCCGGCGTTTTGAAAGGTCAGGCTTTGAAATGACACTAAAATAGCCATGACAAGCGTTGAATGGTTCCTTTGTTTAAATCACACCAGAAAATTGTTCCAAGTGAAACATCGTTACTCGGTTTTCCCACAAATTGTTTGCCGAATTTTAACCGGCATTGTGGTCAGCGTAAAACAACATGAGCATCGCATCGGTCAGTCAAGCGTCCGGCAAGTTAAATCCTTTCACATGCCCTTTTGTCACACTCGGACAGTCCACTCCACACCTGGCAAAACAAAACAAGTCGGACATTCGGACAAACCTAAATGAGAGCAAACTGAGGTATTCTGGTCGGAGCTAACCAGAGGGTCACACTTTAACGCGTGGTGTTTACTTTTGGGCGCGGATGTATTTATCGTGTGCAGGTTGTGATCCGCCCCCTCCCCCACCATTGATGCAGTGAATACAGATGAACCGGAGAAGGCGTGGTGATACATGGTGGCCCTCGTGCTAAGCCTTCTGTGAAAGTACTCGCGTTGTTCACGGGGACGTGTGTTACATCTTGCCGACATCGGGGCTCCAGGGGGCGGGTAGAGCAAGAGGTAGCAGACGACAGAAATAGGAAAGGGTGGTGGGGTCAAAGAGGGTCTGTTTAAGGAGGGTGTAGCGGAGTTAGGGATTCATCCTACTTCGATATAATCAGAGTGTGCGATGCTTGGAATAATAGGACGTTTACCAAGGGTTATATTAGCAGATCGAGCAGTTAACTTTGATATACTGAAGGGATTAAGAATGCCCAGGGCTTTGGAAGATTGCAAAGAATACATAGTTGTTTCGGGTCATGGTGACCTGATCCCTAGGATAAAAGGACTGTAATGGAACCCACACGGTAGGGGAGCAGATTAACGCTTAGTTTCTGAATATATATAATATTTATAGTAACAAATAAACCCATTTAAATTCAAAAGGAGCCCCAGTGAGATGGGAGATTCAGAACCTTGGGAAATCTAGACTTGCTTCATTTAGAACTTTAGCATTGCAGGGAGGGCTAGGCTGTAGGGAAAATAATGTGGTTCAGGGACTGTGAGACAGGGGAGGTGAAATGGGTTTTATGGTTGTACTTGTATAGCGAAGTGCAAGCACGTATGTATGTGTGTGTGCGTGTGTGTATCCAGTCTAATGCTGGTTTTGTAGTAGTCCGATATCGGGTTCAACATGGACACCCCACACAGTACAGTATAACGACTTCAGGCGAACCAGTCCTTCTTTATCCTGATAACTGCGAGCAGGAGGCAGGGTAGCAACATGCACCATCTTGTTAACGTCTTCAGGTATGACATGGCTGGGAATCGACACACTGGTTTTATTGTGCTAGTCTACTCAGAGGTTGTACCGCAGCTTAACGTGGACACCCCAAACAGTAGAGTATAACGACTTCAGGCGAACCAGTCCTTCTTTATCCTGATAACTGCGAGCAGGAGGCAGGGTAGCAACATGCACCATCTTGTTAACGTCTTCAGGTATGACATGGCTGGGAATCGACACACTGGTTTTATTGTGCTAGTCTACTCAGAGGTTGTACCGCAGGACACCCCAAACAGTAGAGTATAACGACTCCAGGCGAACCAGTCCTTCTTTATCCTGATAACTGCGAGCAGGAGGCAGGGTAACAACATGCACCATCTTGTTAACGTCTTCAGGTATGACATGGCTGGGAATGGACACACTGGTTTTATTGTGCTAGTCTACTCAGAGGTTGTACCGCAGCTTAACGTGGACACCCCAAACAGTAGAGTATAACGACTCCAGGCGAACCAGTCCTTCTTTATCCTGATAACTGCGAGCAGGAGGCAGGGTAACAACATGAACCATCTTGTTAACGTCTTCAGGTATGACATGGCTGGGAATCGACTCACCGACCTTCCGCTTTCCAGGCAGACGCTCTATCCAGTGGACCCTCATAGAAATCGATTACCAGGACACCATACTATTGCCTCTCGCAGACACCAGAGCAAAGATTTAATAAAACATTCGCCATCAACATCCAGACTCAGCAGCCTATACTTATCCCCTTTCGGCCCCAGGCTGGCATTAAGGGACTTGAGGGTCTGAACCCTGAATGCATGCGGTAAATCGATGATGTGGGCTTCTCATGCAACATAAACGTCGAATATGTATAACAGAAAAGAGGGGAGTGTTCTTTACTGCAAGACGATGTGTGAGATCCGATGTATCAGGGGAGGTACACGATATAGTCCGGGTATATCATCCCGAGTATGACTAGCAATTAACTTGCACAAGTCTCTAAGGTAAAAAATAATAGTTTAACTGATAATTTCTGTAAAGATAACAAATAACAGACTGGCGCACTGTCCTATTATCTAGACTTGGCTCTTCGAATGATAGAATTACTATACATCCAT